GTGGGCTGGGGTAGGGGGACAGGAAGGAGTGATCGGCTGGAGTTCAACAACAACAGCAAACCAACCCCCTATTTCATGAGGTCAGGATAGGGTAGGAGATGGGGAGGGGGGTGCACTTAGAACTTCTTCTAGGGCGTGTTGAGAGGGGGCTGTTTTTGCAAGGAAAAAACAAACAAACTCAACTTGGAATTCTTAGGTCTTCTCAGTAAAAGGTGACCTTTCTCTGCAGAAGAGAAGGGTACAGAGTAATGCGACCACTGAACTTGCTTCTGGAACAAATCGAGAGGGGGTAGTGTGTGTGTGGCGGGGTAGGGGTGCTAAAGGCAGCCAAGCCTCATGGGGAGCCAAAGTGGGGACGGGGAGAAAACAGGGATAGTTGGAGGCAAAGGGCACCTACCTCCTTCTCCGAGATGTAGAGCTGGTCCCCTTTCAGCACCACATAGCGGTTTTTCCAAATCTCCCTGAAAATCCCTTTCCCGCAGAATTTCCGGACCCAGCCGACCTTCTCGGGCGGTGCAGATTGATGGTTTCCATCCTGGGGGCCCTGCCCGGGGCAAGAGAAGCCGCGGCCGGTGAACGATCACGGAGCTCGCCCCCGTCCCTCGGGCCTCCTCCACGGCTCCCCGAGCTCCCCGGTCGCCTCCAAAGCTGGAGCCGGGGACCCCTCGAGGTCTGCTCCTCACTGGGGGGAACAGGTTTTCACTCGAGGAACTCTCTTACCCGCCGCCCCCTCCCCCAAATCAGCAGCCGGACTGCGCGGGGAGGGGCCCGGGAGAGAGGGGGCTCCCCGCGGTCCCCGCGTCCGGCCCCCTCCCCCAGCCCCTCGCCACGACTAACGGCATCTTATTTTATTTCTCATTGTCTGTTCGCCGCGCGCGGCTCGAGGCACGCGGCGGCCGGTCAGCGGGGGAGGACGGGGTGCGGGTCGGGCAGGGCACAAACTAAGCCAAGTTAAAGCCCCCCGAGGCAGGTAAACAAAAGCCCCCTCTGGAGCCTCGGCGCGGGGCCGCGGGCGGAGGTCCCGGGGCCCGGCGGGCGGCCGGGGCGGGGCGCGGGCGCGGCCGGGGCTGGGGGCTCGCGCGGGGCGCCCCGCCGCGCGCCGCCCGGACCGGGCCGGGGTCGCGGGAGCACGAAGTCGGCGGCGGCGGCGCGGGCCGCCGGGCGGGCGCACTCACCCTCTTGGTGGAATTGTTCTTCTTCATTATTCCCGGCGGGGCGCGGGGTCGAGGGGCCGAGGGGCGGCCCCGCGTGGGGGTCTCGGCCGCTCCGAGGGGGGCTGCTTCCCAGCGGGAGGGTGGCGAAGGTGCCCGGGCGCCACCACGCTCCTCCCCGGCTCCCGCCCGCCGCCCGCCCGCCCTCCCTCCCGCTCCGGGACTCTCCCCCTCTTTGTAGCTCTGGTTACACTAAAGGCCGGCCTCCCGCGCACTCCCTCGCCCTCGCACACTCACGCACGGCCGCTCCCCGCCCCTCGGCGCCCTCCATCCCGGCGCCCACGCGGCCCGGGCCCCGAGCGCGCCCCCCGCCGCCCACCCGCCCGGCCCGGCCCGCGCCCCGCCGCTCCATCCGCGGGCCCGCTGACGTTGCGAGTTCAGAATAAAGGGCGAATCGCGGAGCCGCAGCCAGTGCGCTCCCCCGCTCCCCCCACCCCCCGTCTTTGTTTCTGACTCATCCGGGGGGAGGCTGGCGGACCTGATCCCCGAGGAGACCCGCTCCCAGATCCCAGCCCAGCCGGAGGTGGGGTGAGATGGGCAAACGCGGACCTGCCCAGTCGCCCAGCCCCGCAGACCCGGTGGATCATAGAGACTTGCGGATTTGGGAAGAGCCTGGATAACCGAGGTGGAGATCATCTGCCTCCCAAACCCAAACAAAAACAGAAGCGCCACCCAGACGCCTTCTGGGTGGTAGAGAATGGTCTGAGCAGGTCAGGTGTTAGAGAAAAGTTTTATGCTTCCGAGGCTATGCTGTTGGAATAGATTGGGAGAAAAGTTGTTGTTATTAATACATATCGCTTCCAGTTTACAAAGCCTTATTTGAGCCTCAGGAGAATAAGTCCCCAGTATAAGGAACATCTTATGACGGTCTCCATGTCATGGGCAGACAAGCGAGGTACAGGAAGGCTGAGAGATCTGCCGATGCGTAAGTGCTGGCAAGAGAACTCTTGTCTTCAGAGCCAGGACCCTTTATACCAGGGATATATATGTATGTACACATACATATGTACACATGTGTACACATAATACGTGTGTACACATAATATGTGTACACAGCATGAGGCTCCAAGTATGGCTCACTTCTTGGCTATCTCCCTGATGCTCTGCCATGACCATTCCCTTCGTCTGTATGTTGGAGTCCAGTGGATGGATGGGCTCCCTATCTAGAGAGGGTACTCTTAACTGGAGACCTCTGTTGACCCTTCCCGCCCAAAACTGCCTCAGAGCCTGCGGGGTGTGGCTTCGTAACTTCATGTTTCAGTACGTGTTTGATGGCAAGACAGGTGGAGGAAAGCCTGTCTGTGTGGCCGTGTCTTTACGCCTCTGGCCTTTGGTCAAGTCATTGAAGATTTTTAAGTCCCTGTTCATCCACTTGTGGATACTGAGAGACAAACATTCTATCAACAAGGGAAGTTAGGTGGCCATGTAAGATGCCCAGGGAAAGACCTTAGAAAACAAAATTATTGTCCTTTAGGGCTAAGTATGATAATAAACTGATACAAACATCATCTTACATGCATACTCTGTGTATGTAGGTACATAATTACTAGAAAATGAGTAAGAATATTTGGTACAGAGCAGGAGAAAGAGGGCAAACATTCTGGAGACATCTCAAGATTTAAAAAGAGTGGTTAAATTTATGATGTGAGAGGTAGAGGGTTCTTTGGCTTTTTCTGGCATCCGTTGAATTAGGCATCCTCTGTGTTCTTAGATCCACCTTTCCTCCTAATCCAGTAATATGCTGTCTCCTTCCCTTAGTCATAGGAATTAATTCTCCTGTTTAAGATGAGTTGTAGAACTTTATCCTTTCAAAATATTTTTCTATGTCATGTAAAGGCTTTAGTGCCACCTTGTGAAGCATATAGAGTGAGTATGAATATTCTCCTGGGAAATGAGGAAACGGTGTAATGAATCCACTGACATGCTCAAATTTATACAAGTTACTGGCTAAATTCAGCCTTTCTGACTCAAGCCTGCAGGGAGACACAGATGCATGTGTATGTGTGCAAAGCACCAACACATACATACAGCACACATTTTCTAAACCGTCCCTTCCCTATCCCAAAAAGCGCTGGGGAGCATGGCTCAAGTAGTAAACTTCTTGTCTAGCAAATTAGAGGTCTTAGGTCCAATCCCCAGTATGGTAAATAAATAAGGTGGGACACATTAAAAAAAGTCCAGGATATTTTATATATGAGGAAGCAGAATAATGTAAGGAAAGTATACTGCATGACTTTTTGAGGGCATGTTGATCAGACAAATAGGCATAACTTGGATCTATAGTTTAATAGGGGTTGGAATTAACTCAGTAGAGGAACACTTGTCTAGCATGCAGGAGGTCCTGGACCCAATTATGAGCACCACAAAGAAAAAAAAAAGTCTACATTATTTAGATGACTTTTGGCTTATGGGGGAAGAAGTGATTCATGACTTCCCCCATCTTCCTTTTTTCCAGTAGGTTTCATTTAGTCAGTAATGCTTGAGGACCTCCTAGATGTAAGGCCCTGTGCTCCTCGCGCTCTCTATCAGATAGGATCTGGGCCCTGTAAACATCAGGCAGAGGGACCCATAAAAAATAACCCTCCAAAGTAATTTTCAGATTCTAGAGCAGATGCATGTGGGCTGAAGAACCTTCTCTGCCTGTCTGCTCCTTAAGATGTTACATAAATCTCTGGCTTTCTCCCTCCTATTAACTGGCAGTACTGCACAGCTCCATCCTCTAGTCCTCTCCCTACCTTCTCTTACCTGCCCCTCTGGCCACTCACCCCTCTTCCCACATGCTATAGTCTTCCTCTGACTGGTTCATCATGCTGACTTCTCTCTTACCAGGTGAACCTTATGGCACATAAATTTGGCTCTATGTAGGACAGTTTTCCAAAGTTCAGTGCTTAAGTGAGAAATGTGAATGAGGCACATCTAGGTTCCTTTACACATTTTTATAACACTGTCTCCTCAGTGAGCTTGACACCACCATACGCACAAATCTCAGAAATAGTTCAAGCCACTTTTCTCTTTGAGGGAGATAAGACACCGGGAGGAATCATGGTAGGGTTACCTCCTAAATACGTTCATGCATAAGACATCCCTGCCAGTGGCTTTGTGCTTCAATTGAGTATTTCATAAGTAACTCCACTTAGGAAAAGGACATGATTACAGGTAAAATCTTGTGAATTGCTGACTACAAGTTTCCTGAGTAGAAACTGTTATTGAAACAGTTGTTTCAAAACATCCTCTTGGCTTTTGTAAACAGGAGTGAGGTTTTGGTCAGGGCATTTCAATCTGTGGGGGAGAGGGGTTATTAAAAACATACAAAACCTTAATTAAAATGTTTTTAGAGGGGAAAAAATAGAGGGCCAGTAATAATGGAATCAGCCTTGTAAATATTAGTGTACTGCCTCATCTCTTGCAATCCCATGAGAAAAGTATTATTACTCCTGTTCTATGGATGAGGAAGCTGAGGCACAAACATTCCCAATGCCGTGTAAATATGACATAAACTTGATCACAGAATGTCCCATGCCAGAGAATATTTGTTAACATTTAAACTCATACACACCTTATAGAGAATTGGAAGAGGATTGAGCTCTGCTATTTTTGCTATGATTATACCATTGCTTTTTACTGCTTTCAAGAGAAGCAAAATTGAGACCAGCATTTATTATCTGCCTTGGTATACTTTAAATATCTTCCAGGTAGAGGCAATGCCTTCATTGCGTTTGGCATACAGCCATCTCAAACCTTACTTCCTGAATTCCCATAAATGAATCCCAAGAAAGAAAATCACTCATATTTCCACAAAATGAAGTTTTATTGTAGTCATTCATAGTTTCTCAGTGCCACAGAAAATTGCAACATGGGGACAAATACCTTTTTCATGGTTCTCTCAAGAAACACGGTGAGGTCTCTGAAATGAGTTATATAGGAATGTGGTGAACAGAAAGAAGAAAGGGCCAAGGAAAGAGAGGAAATTGAAGAGGGAGGTATGTACCTCATCTGGCTCTTTTGCAGGCCTCTCGGCTCTGATAATCCTTTTCCCAAATAGGATCTCAACAAAATCTATCAGACAGGAGCGTGATTGTGCTATCAAATATACAAAGAAACATTTATTTGATAAGGAAACTGAGAGAAAGTGGGTTGGGGTGGGTTTCAACTTCTCAGCTTATCCCCAGTCTTGATGCCCGCCAGCCGTTCAGGAACCAGCAGGCTAGCTGGCCATCAGGGAAGGCCTGTGGAGCAAGCAGGAGGGGAACCTGTGCCATGGTACCCACTCTCTGTCACCATTTCATCTTCTGCTTGCTGACCTCGAGGTGACTTGAGAGCTCTCCCTGCCTCTGCTGTGTAGTCCAGAAGACAGAACTTCCTCTAGGAAACTGACAAGGAGATATGAGATTACTTAAAGGAAAAACAAAACCATCACTAAAAATAGAGTATCTTATTCATGCCACTGAAGTACATAAAAAGAGCCTCATGACTAGCATGCAGGAAGTACTGACTGGTCTGATATTTGGGTCTAGAATGAACTGTCAGCAGCACACTACATCATCCTGAGGAGGAGAGCCCCTGCAGGGATTCCTCAGGTGATCTTTGCTTCACTTTCAACTTTTCTAAAAAGGAGGGGAAAAAAAGAAACAAAACAAAACACCTTTGCTAAAATTATACTTGAAGATCCTCCTCTGTATTTCAATAAGTCTCCATATTCTTGATTGCAGAGGGAAAACATTTTATTTGCCAAACCTAATTTTGTTTCCTAAGGCCATTGTGACTTTTCAAAAAGTATCTATTTAGGTACTTTGATGAGTCATTGCGCAGAATGCTTTAAAAATATGGGCAATGAACATATTGGAAGCTGAACTCTAAATTTAGACTATGTTTAAAAACAAACAAAAAAGTGAATTTTCTTTTTTAGATGTTTTATATAAAGCTTACTTTAAAAAAGAAAACTAAAAAATCCCTGATACTAGAACCCAATTCACTTCAGTTAAATTCACATTTAACAAATGATTACTGAGTGTCCTTGTGAGTCTGCACTGGACTGGGTGTATGGATGAATACCTCTTATGGTTCCCACCTTAAGGCAATCTCAGTGAGAGACCCGTAAATAACTGAGGTATAAATAGAGAAGTATGGGAGACTAATGGTGGATAAACACTATGGCTTCTCTTAGTTTGTACTGTTCTCAGGGGTGCTTTCTCTGTTCTACAAAGAGGAAGTAAAGTGGTTGGAGAAAATCACCCCTAGTTTTACAAAGTAAACCTCAAAGTTCCTCCAGGGCTTACTTAGCAAAGGTACTCAAGAAGGTATGCTGAAATGTACTATACATACATACATATCTATCTATCTATCTATATATCTATATATATCTTATTTTGGTAGTACTGGAGATTGAACTCAGGGACTTGCTAGCTAGGGAAATACTTTAGCCCTTGGGCCAAGCTCCATGCCTTTATCTCCACCTTCCAAGTACATGGAATTACTGGTACGTGTTACCAACTCTTCTTAAAAAAAAAAAGCTAGGGCTGGGAAGGTGGCTCAGTGGTAGAGCGCTTGTCTTGCATGCCTGAGGCCCTGGGTTCGATTCCTCAGCGCCACATAAGCAAAAAGAAAAAAGCTGGAAGTGGCGCTGTGGCTCAAGTGGTAGCGTGCTAGCCTTGAGCTGAAGAGTTGAGGGACAGTGCCCAGGCCCAGAGTTCAGGCCCCACAACCAGACCCCTCCCCCCCCCCCCCCCAAAAAAAGCTAGATGAGCTGGTAGCTCACACCTATAATCCTAGCTACTAGGAAGCCGAAATCTGAGGATTGTAGTTCAAAGCCAGCTTGGCCAAGTGCATACACATACACGTACACACACACACACACACACACACACACACACACACACACACAGGAAAGGATTTTGAATCTTTTTTTTTTTTTTTTTTGTCGGCCTTGGGGCTTGAACTCTGGGCCTGGGCGCTGTCCCTCAGCTCTTCAGCTCAAGGCGAGCGCTCTACCACTTGAGCTACAGCGCCACTTCCGGTTTTCTGGTGGTTTATTGGAGATCGGAGTCTCACGGTCTCTCCTGCCCGGGCTGGCTTTGAACTGCGATCCTCAGATCTCAGCCTCCTGAGTAGCTAGGATTACAGGCGTCAGCCACCAGCGCCTGGCTAGGATTTTGAATCTTTTTACCACTGAGAAATACGAAATGGATGGCTCATACCTATAATCCTAGCTACTCAGGAGGCTGAGATCTGAGGATCTTGGGGTGAAGCCAGACTGGGCAAAAAAGTCTGTGAGACTCTGATCTCCAATAAATTATTCAGAAAAGACTGGAAGTGGCGCAGTGGCTCAAGTGGTAGAGCGCTAGCTTTGAGCACAAAGAGGCTCAGGGACATTGCCCAGGCCCTGAGTTCAAGCCACAGGACTGGCACAAAAAAAGAAAAAAAGAGGGGCTGGGAAGGTGGCTCAGTGGTAGAGCGCTTGCCTTGCATGCATGAAGCCCTGGGTTTGATTCCTCAGCACCACATAAGCAAAAAGAAAAAAGCTGGAAGTGGTGCTGTGGCTCAAGTGGTAGAGCACTCACCTTGAGCTGAAGAGCTGAGGGACAGTGCCCAGGCCCAGAGTTCAAGTCCCACAACCAAAAAAAAAAAAAAAAAGAAGAAAGGAGAAAGAAGGGAGAAGGGAGAAGAAGGAGAAGAGGGGAGAAGAAGATGACGACAATGAAGAAGAAGAAGAAAAATCAGGGCACTCAGGATTGTAATCTTAGCTACTTAGGAGGTTGAGATATGAAGACAAGTTCAGAGCTAGTGTAGGCAGACAAATCTTTGAGACTCTTATTTCTAATTAACCAATAAAAAGCTAGAGGTAGATCTGTGGCTCAAGTGATAGAGCACTAGTCTTGAGTGAAAACAATCAGGGACAGTGCCAGACCCTGAGTTTAAGTCCCCAGGACTGGTATATGCACATACACAGAGAGAGAAAGAGAAGGAAGGAAGGAAGGAAAGGAGGGTGGGAGGGAAGGAGGGAGGGAGGGAGGGAGGGAGGGAGGGAGAAGGAAAGGCAAGGCAAGGCAGGGCAGGCAGGCAAAATTCCATGTGAATTTCTTACATCAAAAACACCAAAGGATGGGCTGGGAAGGTGGCTCAGTGGTAGAGCGCTTGCCTTGCATGCCTGAGGCCCTGGGTTCGATTCCTCAGCACCACATAAGAAAAAAGAAAAAAGCCGGATGTGGCGTTGTGGCTCAAGTGGTAGAGCACTAGCCTTGAGCTGAAGAGCTGAGGGACAGCGCCCAGGCCCAGAGTTTAGGCCCCAAGACCGGACCCCCCCCCCAAAAAAAAAACACCAAAGGAATCCAAAATCTGAATAGAATAATGAAATACATAAGGATTTGGGGAAGTGGAACTGTGGCTCAAAGTGGCCGAGCACTAGCTTTGAGCAAAAGCACTCAGGGACAGTGCCTAGGCCCCACAACCCTCGAAGTAGAGCTCTGACTCAAGTGGTAGAGTGCTAGCCTTGAGCTAACTGAAGAAGCTAAAGGACAGCACTCAGGCCCTGAGTTCAAGCCCCCAAACTGACACACACACACACACACACACACACACACACACACACACACACACACACACACACACACACACACACACACACACTTTCTACCAAGTGTTTGGCTGTAATTAGAAGCTTGTTACGGCTTTAAAGCAAATTCTTTGAGTTCTCAAGAATTCAAATAGAGAATTTTTGCCCAGTTTTGTTGTTTTCCAGTTCTTGGGCTTGAACTCTGGACCTAGGCGCTATTCCTGTGCTTCTTTTGCTCAAGGCAAGCACTCTACCACTTGAGCCACAGCTCTACTTCCAGTTTTTTTTTTTGTAGTTTATTGGGGCTGAGAGTCTCATGGACTTTCTTGCCCAGATCTCAGTCTCCTGAGTAGCTAGAATTACAGGGATAAGCCACCTCACCTGGCTGAACTATGCATCTTTTAAAACCCATTTTTCTTTTTAAAATTTCTGTACTCTATCTTGTATATAAGTTTATCAGATTTGGGGAAAGGGAGGGGGAATCACGGAAACAGTGGGACAAAGTGTGAACCAATTCAACAGTGACATTCACTAGATACTCTGTTGGAAATGAACTTTGCAACATGGGGGGAGGGGAGGTCTGGGGTAACAGGGTGGGGAGAAGTGAGAGAAAATGAAGGAGGGAGCAACACTGTTCAAAAAGAAATGTACTTATTACTTTACTTTTAAAAGTGTAACCCTTCTGTACATCACCTTTACAATAAAACAAAAACAAAATGCATCTCTCACAGAACTGCTCTTCTAAGGAGCTGTCTTCCCCTTAAGCTGCCGACTAGGATCTCAGTATCATACTGTGTTGTAACTTATCTATATGTATATTTTCCATGTAAATCTAGGAAGTTTTTGAGAGCACAAAGTAATACACAATACATCCTCCTTGTAAACAGCATATACAAACCTCAAGTCTCCCTGAACTCTTCTCCCCATTCCTCTTTCCAGAGATAACAACTTGATCAACAAATATTTATTGAGTGCCTACTTTGTGCTAGAAGCTGCAAACAGGGCATTAAGCAAGTAAACAGAGGGCTGGGAATATGGCTTAGTGGTAGGGAGCTTGCCTAGCATGCATGAAGCCCAGGGTTCGATTCCTCAATACTACATCAACAGAAAAAGCCAGAAGTGGTGCTATGGCTCAAGTGGTAGAGCGCTAGCCTTGAGCAATGCCCAGGGTAGCTGGGCATTGGTGGCTCATACCTGTAATCTTAGCTACTCAGGAGGCTGAGATCTGAGGATCGTGGTTCATAGCTAGCCCGGGCAGGAAAAGCATTGAAAGTCTTATCTCCAATAAACAACCAGAAAACCTGCAGTGGTGCTGTGGCTCAAGTGGTAGAGTGCTAGTCTTGAGCTGAAGAACTGAGGGACAGCGCTCAGGCTCAGAGTTCAAGACCATGACTGACAAAAAAAAAAAAAAAAAAAAAAAGCCCAGGGACAGTGCCCAGGCCTTGAGTTCAAGCCCCAGGACTAGCAAAAAAAGAAAAAAGTAAACAGACTCTTATGGAATTTATATTCCAATGGGGAGTGAACAAGATAAAATTAATTAGTAGGTAAGTGTTAATAAGGTAGAAGCTTTTTCACTTTACAAAGAAATTAAAGCACATAGAAGTCTTCCTGTTTGGAAATGATAGTGTTGGGATAAAAGGCCAGGTATCATGTTTTCTTAACTACAATGTTATACTGCCCAGAAAAATAAAACATTTAAAGAACTGGAGATGTTGGTATAAGATTTTTAAATCCAGTTTTCCAGAAAAAGCCTCACTGAGAAATAACATTTGAGATAAGACCTGAATGAGGTATCAGAGTTTTATCTTAGGACAAAGGCAC